AAAGGAACAACACACAATAAAATTATCAACTTACTAGCCATTCATTTGTTCATTTAAACTTTTTAAGCATTCAAGTACCAATTACTAGAGAGACACTTAATCCAATCCCTGTCGGTGGGAACATCTGGATGGGACACCATGGAGGGGATGAATTTTAAGAATGTGTAACTGTTAGCTAGGCACAGATGAAAACTAGTTTAAGCAAGCAGAGTAAACAGCTGAACTAAGTATCTGCATATATGCACGTTAGTTAGGTGACGGGGAAGAAGTGGAAAGAAACCATTCACAGCTAAATGCTTTATATTATCCAAAGAGCAACAGAGTACCTTCAGGAAAATCTTGGGTAGAATGAAGAGTGTCAGTGATAAACACAGTAAGTTATTTTTAATATTGCTACTCTGATACAGGTTAAAACGCATGGTAGTAGCTCTGGTGAGAAGGGTCTGATGACTGAGAATAGTTAATAGAGATAGGAACAGAAGGGACAGATTTGAGAAGTCAAAGAAAGAGAGCAGACAGGATTTTGTCACAGTTTTACTATTGAGGGTAGATTCAGTCATTCTTAGATATGTTGAGTTCTAGCTGAGTCTAGGGCATCCAACAGGATTCTGAAGCTAAGAAGAGTATACACTGGAATAAAGATATAGGAATCATCAGCGTAGTACTTTAAGTATCAGAGCAGATACGTTCATATAGGAAAAAAAAAGATATATCCAGATATTATATGTAGTAGGAATTTTTGGTTTATGAGTTTTCCTGATAGAGTATAAGTATCAAATTTATTTACCACTCTATCCCCAGTGACTTGAAAAGTAATTGACATGTAATTATTTGTGTGAATAGTTTTTTCCTTTGGTCAGGTTAATAAAATTATCTCACCACTGTTTATGAGAATTTAGTTCATTTAGCATTAAGTGATGGCTTAAAGCAAAATTCATTTTAAATGAAATTTTAATTCGTTTAAAAATTTTATGTATTTTTTAAATGCCTTAACCTACATGAGGGATGTGGTATTGTAGGTGAAGTTTGAGTCTTGTTAAAGGTGTGGCTTTTGTGACTTTTTGCACCTCCATGTCAGAAGCCTAGGTCAGCAAGGTCCCACCACCTTTGTGTCCTTCCTTTTTTGTTTCACTTGTGTGTTCTATTGTGTCTGGGCCTATTCACCCTTCGGGTCCTTATCACTATAGCCACAGGGCTATCAGGCATCTATGTGGCTTAGGCAAGGGAGAGACAGAGCTAAAGTGCATGTGCACAGTAATTCTAGAGAACAGTGAAGTCACAGTTTATTGATAAGAAAGCAGGGATGGTTGCTACCTCTCACGGCAACGCAGTTCTCTGCACCCCCACTGATGCTGTCTGAGGCGGCCCACTATCTCTGGCTTTAGGACTGCCAGAACATTCTATTCTTTCTTTTGCATTTTACTCTGCTCCAGTATTCTGACATGCACCTGCTATTATATCACTGTTTCTATCTTCACTGCACTTTTCCCCATCTGAATTTACATATTTATCTTGATTACTCTTTACTTAACTAAACTGCTCAGAGGGTGGATTTCATGTTTGGTTTGGCTTACCTACCCACAATAAAGCTTCACTTCTTATATATTTCTCACTTTAATAGTAAAGCCAGTATCTTCTTTTTCTTAGCAAGTTTTCATAATAAGAACTAGTTTTGCCAGGTGCAGTGGCACACACCTATAACCTCAGGTACTTTGAAGGAATAGGATTCCAAGTTTGAGATCAGCCTGGACAACTCAGTGCAATCTTTTCTCAAAAATAAAAATAAAATAGGGTGGGAATGCAGTTCAATGGCAGAACACTTGCCTAGCTTGCATGAGAACTTGGGTTCAATCTCCAGTTCTGGAGGCCAGAAAAAAGAAAAAACAACTGATGTTTATTCATTTTTCACTCAGTTCATGCTTTACTTATAGTATCATGCAACTATAACTTTTGTGTAGTAATTTTAATACAATGCCCATTTTATTATACTCTGGTTTCTCTTCAGATAGTATAAATCTTTTGCCTTTTACAATATCCATTTTATAAAGTTAAAGATCTATAAATACTATAAGGTATCAGAATGTTACTTCCTTTACCCAGTCCAAATCACAGTACCACTGTATTTGTCCTAAAATCATGGCAGATGAGACAAAACCCACAATTACTACCACATACCAAAGACCCCCCCAAAATTTGATAGATGCAGCTTTATAGCAGTATTTATCAGTACAAAAAAGAAAACATTTTGCAAGGGGACAGTTTTTGCCTATTAGCCTCAATCTTAAGCCTGATAAAAAGGTACACAGAAATCCAAGAACCTGGGAGGGCACAAAGCTTAGTGCTACAGAATCCTCAAGATACCATGAGGCACTAGAATAAGCAACTAACTTCATCATCTATTATTCTGGATTCTCAGTGGACGACAAAGGTCTCATCTGTGATTTACCACTATACTTTAATCACAATTCTGCCATGTTAATTCTTTCAGTGTAGGGTGCTACTGACTGCAAAGGATCTTTGAGATCAGAATGACTTTTGCAATTAAATTGTCATTTATCTGTTTTGGCTTTAAATTGCCATTGAGAATATAAAACTCTGCTTATCAACTAATTATGTATATTTATACAATCTTGTTTTCCTCCAAAAAGTAACATTAGATTGGGATTCTATTTCAAAATTTTCTTTCGGAAACTCATATATAAAATCTGTAGTTCACAGAAATGAAGGGATTTGTGCTTTGTTTTATGTTATATTCCAGAGTTGGCTTCTTTGCTAGAGAGATCCAAATATAAAAACAATGCAGAAATATTAGAAACAGCACAATAAAAACAAAGCAGATTGTAGATCACATCCAGGTACTATGAGAAGGAGTTCAACAGAACCACAGAAGCCACAGAAGAATAAGATGAAGTCCCCACTCTAGAGTAGCCATATCCTATTGGCTTTTCCTCCAAAACAGCTACGTTCTCACATTGAAGGCTCTATAATCTCTTGGTGATATACAGTGATAATCACGTAAGTGATTTGATTTGCTGTTCCTTGAACCTGCAGAGCATATTCCTGTGTCAGATCCTGTGTACAGTACTTGCTTGTCCCTCTGCCTAGTGTGTTCTTCAGGCTGACCCTGATAGGTCATACAAAATAACACATGCTTAGTCTAGAGCCTTAGTCTTATTCTTCTTTGTGGTGTCTATTACTAACACGGCATATAAGTTTCCTCTGCCAGAATATAAACTTAGGAGCAAAGATATTTTATTATCTTGAGTATTACTACACCTTCTATGTCTGGAACAGCGCTTACCACAGTAGATAAGCAATAAATGTGTGTTCAATGATAGTTAATATCTGTTCATATAAATAATTATATAAGGCAATAACAAATTAATAGAACATTTTTCACAGTTAACTGCTAATTGAACAGCATGATCCAGTAACACCCAAAGGTGCATACATTAACATAAAAGGACTGTTTGCCTTCCAAAATATACAACCCTAGGCCTCACTATAGAACCCATCACATCTTTCCAATAAGGTCCTAGCATGTGTATATGTAAATAGCTCCCTGGGAAAGTCTATTTTTTTATTGTAGGAAAATAAATTTTCCATCTTAATTACTTCCAGGTGATTCTATTTTGCACCCCTATTAAAACTACTGGTATTATATGTCAGTCCAGTAGTGAAAAATGGGAAAGTTCATAAGAAGAAGAAAAACAGAGAAAGGGAAAGGAAAGAGAAGGAAAGAAAAAAAAAGAAAAGAAAGGGAAGGGAAAGAAAAAGAAAAGAAGAAAAAAGATACCATACATAATTAGAAAGTACATGGGCTTTGGAACTGAGTTCTGGTCCACTGTTCTGTGAGACCAGGACAGTTATTTAACTTTCTATAACCATAAAATAAATATAATCTCATATAACTTCTCTCTCCCTATATCCACTGCAGACTTTTCCAAGTTTACTATAAAGCTAAAATGCAATCAAGTATATAAATTATCTATTTTGTTATACTTTCTAGGCATTAAACTGTAGCCTGCTGGAATAATTTTCATTGAAATGAAAAGAAAATTATACTGGTGGAACACATGCACAATCTGGCATAAGTGGCTATAAAAGGGGCTAAGCATAATGGCACATGCCTGTAATCCTAGCACTTGCGAGGCGGAGGCAGGAGGATTGTTGCAGGTTTGAGGCCAGCCTGGGCTACCTAATGAGTTCAGGGCCAGTGTGAACTACAGAATAAGACCTTGTCTCAAAAAGCAAAACAAAACAAAGCAAGTGGCTAAAACATACTTCCTTTTCCAGGGAAACAACTAAGGATCAAATTTCCTTAGATATGACAAAATTAGAACAGTGATTCTTAAACTGAGCATGCTTTAGAATCACCCAGAGAACACCTTAAAATACAGACTGCTGGGTCCATTCCCAGAGTTTCTTATTCAGTTAAGTCTAGGGTAGAGCTGGTAATCTGTCATTTCTAGTAAGTTCCCAGGGAATGTAGATGGCAATGCTGTTCGTCTTGGAATTGTACCTTGAGGATCAAGTATGCACATCCTAACCAAACCTCTCCACAGATTCTTTTACTATAATGTTTTAAAACAAAGACACTAACATAGTTCACTTTTTAAAAAGTCACAACCAGCAATGCTTATGATTTTTAGAACATTTTACTGATAAAAATCAACTGTAGTGTATGTAGTGAGATTCAAATAACAAAAATTTCATGTCACTTGTATGCCACTGACAAATATTCTGAAAATTAAATACAATTCTTTTTTTTTTTTTTTTTTTTTTTTTTTGTCTTTTTCCTTTTTATCAGTACCGGGGGTCGAACTCATGACTGCCTGCTTGCAAGGCAGGCGCTTATGCCGCTGAGCTAAATCCCCAGCCCAAATACAATTCTAACACTCTTTTTAAAGTTAAAACTCTAGATAATGATACATGGTAGTTTTACAGGAATGAATGCAGGAGACATTTTTGCTAAGTAGATGACACAGAAAAATACTTACAGGTATGAAGACATTCTGTCACAGTAGTTGGCTTGATCAGATACCCTTTACAAATATAGCAGGTAATGTAAGGATTAAAATCTTTCACCAAGTGTTTCCTTTGGGTAGCCATTCGCAGTGAGCTGGCTTAGTAGTAGTTCAGGCAAAGAGGGGGAGTAAGCGGATGAAAAGTCTGATCCCAGGAGCTGGTGCAGCGGTTCCCAATCTGATATTCTGAGACATGAGAACTAACATCCAGATTTATCACGAGACTGCTGTTCATCACTCCTTTTGGGGGTTCTGCTTTCCCATAGCTGTTTCCAAAATCATTTTAAAAAGATGAGAAAACATGTGTCAAATTCCGCATACTGTATTAATACCACTGTATTACCAGCAAATGTCACAGTCTAAATTGGGAACACATTCTTAACAGTAAACTTGTAAACAGAACACATTCTTAACAGTAAACTTGTAAATCTGCAATACTTGGAATTCAAAACATTAATAGATTCAGTCAGTCATGGAGCTTCAACTGTCACCTCCATACTGACAAAGTTGCTGGCTCCAGCTTTGTATCATATCTCTCTAGTAATGTACCTCAACTATCTGCTTGGCTGTTCTTTAGGAGTTCCTGCTAATACTGCAAGCTAAAAAGAGTCAAAAAATTAAAAATCACTATCCTCCCTCTCAAACAGCTCCCTATTTCCAGTTTGTACCCTACACCCAGGCTACAGGCAAATTAAGCTGATGTCTTTTTCTACTCCATGCACAACCACCCTATTTGCCTAGTACCTTTCCACCTGTAGTCCATCTTATATTCTGGTATCAAGTTTATTCTAGCCTATCACATTTGGGTGTCCTAAAAGAATGTCAGTGCTCCTACCTTACAAACAGAAGAAAGAAGTCCTTTAAGTAACAGTATGTTATATAGACATACCTCCCTGCTTGACCTTAAAATAACCTTTGATAGCTTCCTTTAGGCAAACTGAAGGGATAAATCCCCTCCCATGGCCACTATGCAGCTTTTCTTCCATCTAGTAAGTGCTTCCTCTCCTCTGCACCCCACTTATCCCTAAAAATCCTTTTCCAATGCTATCTTCAGTGCAATCACTTCCTTGTTAACTCTCTTCTTCTTTCATTTTGATTTATAAATTCATTCTTTACTTCTACCAGATTGAAAAGTCCGAGAGAAATGCCACACTTAGTGGATGTATAACTTAACAATGTTACTTTCCCGAGTTTGTTAGTTTTTCTACCTGTAAAAATGAAAATAAGTGTGGGTTTCCTAGCAGTGAGGACTAAACACACAGCCAGCAAACACTATGAAAAAAAAAATGTCCTAAATTTTCTCACAACTTTTAGCATAGTTGGCTTGCACATTAGGTTACTCTAAAAAACTTTTAGGCCTGGTGTGGTGTGAATGACTGTAATCCTAGCTACTCCGAAGGCTGTGGCAGGAGGATTTCAAGCTCTGGTTCAGCCTGGACAATCTAACAAGACACTATCTCAAAGGATTAAAATGGTTGAGGATGTAGCTCAGCGGCAGAGTACTTGCCTAACATGTTGGGCGCTCTTACTATGGGAGCTGTGGGAAAGTTGTCTCTTACAAATAAGTCGATCTCTCAGAAAACACATGCAAGTTGATAATTTTCCTAAATTCATTCCATAAACAAGAAAATTTCCTTTATTATAGCTTTAAACTCACAGATAAGCATACAATAACCACAAAGGTAAAAAGCATTGCTGTATTCAATTAAGCTATCGCACCTACTGCGAACGTGCAGGGCACAGGTTGTGTGTGTAGTCCTGCTGTCTGCTCGGTAAATGGTGTTGGGGGTGTGACAGAAACAAACCAGGATATCGGGGTGGCGGCCCTGTGTGACCTTCAGGGAAGCATTTTCGATCCTCGCCAGGGTTTCCGCTCCTCCTCTGTGAGCTGGGGTTAACAGTCTCTCCTTTCCCACAGGTTTGCTCTGAAGCTCCAGAGCAAGAGCAAGACTCCCAAAGAGGAAAGCCAGGTCCCGGGCAGGGTGGTACCAAGATAAGGCGCAGCGCGCTGTCACCGAGGCAGCCCACATAAGCGGGAGGCGGCGGCGGAACTTTTCCGCGTCCCCGCGCGGCCGCCGCCCGGCTTGGCAGGTGCGCCGGCCCGGCCCGAGGCCGGCAGGGGCCGCCCGAGCACAGGGCGCGGCTCCTGAGCGCCACCGGCCGCCCCCGGACCCGGGGCGCCCCCGCTCGAGCCCGGACGGTGGCAGGTGTCCCGCACTGCCGCTCCTGCCGGCCGCAAACTTGGGCGGCAGCGCGGGGAGCTGGCGCCCGGCCCCTCCCGAGCCCGTCGGTACCTACCCCGGGCCGCCGCCGCCGCTCCTTGCCCGCCAGCGCGCCGGCCTCCGAAGGAAAGTGAAAGAGAAACAGCGCCCGCCGCGGCCTGGCCGGTCCCGCTCCCGGTCCGCCCTCCCCCTGCAGGCGTGAGCGCGCCGCTCCGCGGGGCCACTAGGCTCGGGCCGACAGGGCGTGGCGGCCTCGGGACCCAGGGCCGGCCCGCCCCCAAGGGCGACTCCGCCCCCTCCAACCGCCGGGCCGCCCCGCCCCACGCCCCGCCCACGGCCACGCCCCCAGCACGCCCGGACCCGCCTCCTCGCAGGTGCCACCGCCTCCCTGCCGCCCTGTGGCTTGGATGTGACACAGTGCTCTAGCCAAATGGCCAACACCACCCTCCCTGTTGTTGTCATCACAACAATGGTATATTTTTTCTGGCGGTCAGTGTTGAGACCTAGTCACGTATCAGACTTCCCGAATCGGTCCACAGAGGCCACGGGAGGAACGAAGATAGCCTGATGTACACTTTTAAAATCACTAATGAATTTGTTACTGTAGGGTGGGTCCCCGTAGGGTGGGCCTGGTGATCACAACGTTTGACAACTTTAAATAAACGGGAATCTTGCAGGGCTGGGAGAGGGACAAGGGAAGAGGTAAACAATTTTATTGTTTGCAAGGTCCAAGACAGACAAGAATCTTCAGTACTCTTTCTAGTGGACTTCGGGACTTAGGACACCATTCGTTGCAAACACATGCATTCAAAAGTGCACATTAAAGTCATCCAATTCTATTGTACTACATTCCACGAAGTCACAAACTTCTATTACAACCATAATTTTGCTAAACATAAATTAGATCTGTGGATTTGTTCCTTAAAAGAGTGCAATCCAGTTATCCTAGTGTACCTGGTGAATCAGTGTAGTCTTCACTGATGAAGTAAAAGTTCAAAGGAACATTCCAAAGGGAAAGCTGCAAAGCGCAACTTCCAATCTTATGTTTCAGAAACAGGAAAAGCTGTTGAATTTACATCATCACATCTTTCGTAGAAACCAGAGCAAAAGTAGCTAAAGAACTGACTGTTAATGAAAAGCATTTGCTGTATGTCCTACAGACAGCAATCATTTCCTTGCTAGAGTGGTAGGTGGGGAACATGACTTTGGCCAAATCACCAAATCCAACAACCATTGGATGTTGTATATAAGTGTATACACTTTTTGTATACACGCATCCAAAGATATATTTACAATCTGAAATGCAACAAGTAGACTAAAGCAGCCTTATCAAAACTATTTAATAAATAAACATATGAAGTTGACAGAAGAAAAACAAATTGTCATTTTACTATCACAGTAAAACAGCAAGACATTTTCTGAAATAGCTTCAAATGATTAATTTTAATACTCTTTTAACGAACCATTTTGCTAAATTTGATATGCCAGTTTCCAAACTGGGATCAACTTCAATAAGACAGGGCAATCACAGTAAAAGAAAACAAGTCAAGTCAAGCAACTTTGTAGCAGAAGGATTATTTTTCATGTCTTTCATCTGGATACTGAATACATCAGTATGTGAAAACACACTCTATTTTTAGTATGTTTAAGATATGTAATAAAAACTATAACCATAGATACTACATTACATACAAAATTACTTGCTATTTTTCTACTGTGTGTCTCAATCTACTTTAAATGGAGTTAATGAGGTCCATGGGGCATGAAGGTGAATTTAATCAGCTTTCCAGAAAGGAATGAACTTAAGAGTGAATATTAACAGGATCACAAGGTGTTATCAAAAAAGTGGGTTTGAATAAAAAACTTATTATAGGAAGAGACACCTTGCCATTAATTCCTTTCAAAATGCTTTCCCTGACTTTGAACACACTGGCCCCATCATTCCTGCCATTTTCTGAAGCAGTCTCACTGCAACTCCTCTTTATGAATGTCTTAAGTTGTGGCTGCCTCAATGTCCTGAATTGATTAAAAACTTTTACCTTTTATCATCATTTTGATTTTGAATAATAGCCAGAAGTCATATGATTAAGGTAACAGACCCAGTGATAAGGGAGATATGGGTAATGTTTTCACAAGCCTGCCATTCAGGTACATGGCACGCAGCAGCAGCATTCACCACATTTTTTATCAAATCTTATAAAGACATTTATGAAAAAAGAACTTCCAGAACTGCTTTAGAAAGTAAGATTTTACAAGACATGGGTATTAAATTTAATAGAATTCAAATAAACAATGATTTAATTTTTTAAAAAAGGAAAGTGGCAAGAATAATAGGGTAAGTTCAAAGGCAAGTTCAAAATAAGGAATATTCGGAGGAGGAATGTCAGTGTGTCTACTGCTTAATAAATTTAAACATTTACCATGTTTTTCAATTACCCCTTATATGTTAGCAATGAACAGAGAGGTCACAAATATGCTAAGAGCAGTGCCTAGTGGCAAATGTGGACATAAAGTTACAAAATGGGCAGGTGTGTCAGTGTGGGGGTGTCCGGTCATTGTAAGGAAATCTGTGCTTTATGTCCCTAGAGGTAGAATTATTTGTAGTGAAACATTTTGTGATTTCTCCTCTTCCCTCTTTAGAAACTGCCCCATTTCAGTCACTGCAACACACATATAGATGCACACATACAGACACACACACACACGAGGCACAAATAATAAATTCAAACATTTGTTTGCTTAACCAAATGACAATACAAGAAATAGAAGAAATGTTAAGAAAAGGCAACTTTCCTGAGTTATGTGTAGATTCTAAATTTTCAGACATGGAATTTTTAGCTACTTGGCTGCTCCTCCCCGTCCCTTGGGGCTGCTCCCATTACTTATAGTTATCCCTTGGATCTACAGGATAGAAAAAAAAAAACAGGTTAAAAGTATTGTAGACATTAATCCCTTTATCAATAATCTTCAGCCTTTTCATTTTCCAAATGTAGAAACAAAGATTCAGAGAGATGGCAAATTCGAAATTACAGAACTCATTTTCATGGAGCTGAGATCAAAACCAAAGTGTCAGTTCAGTTGTATTTACATATCTCAGGAGAAATTTTCAAATTCAAGAATTTAAGAGAAATCTAGTAAAAAAAGATTAGAACAAAAGGAGAATAAAGAAAGGATGAGGAAGAATAAAGGAAAAAATATGGATGAGAGAAAATAACAACTGGGTAGGTGACACGTGTTTATTGGTCACTGGTGATCCCTGTCAAAGAAGTAACTCCCAAGGGGTAACTTGTTGCATTACTGACCCTGATTCCTCCAGGCAATCGTAAATGGTTCCTCACAGCCCTGGGAACTACTCAGAGCTTTGTGTATATCTAACAAGTGTTTTCATTACTTTACACTTTTTGTCTCTTTTAAGATTGGGCAATGGATGGGTAGCTCTACACTGAAAGTTTGTATTTATTTCTTTTTGCTTACTGGATATATCACTAATTTACTGACAGTTAACTTATTTGAAAAATAGATCATATGTTTGTATTTTACTGAATTATTAAATAAAATAGATTTTTCATTATCATTTTATATACCTAAATATGTCATTTAATCTTTTAACATAGAGCATCTCTAATATATAACATATAGTCTAAAAGTCTTCCTATAGAAATTATAGAAAATACTAAAATTTAACGTAAGTGCCCTACTGGGCTCAAGAGTATTTATTTTATGACTATAAACAGTATGGTTCAAAATAAATGATTGCCTAGAATCAATAATGAAGGAATGGGAGAGGAACAGAGAACTGAAGAACTTCCAATCATCACTGTCCATGTTGCTTTCTGTTTTACTGCATCCCTTCCTTATAATCCAGTAATTCTAGAAGACTCTCTTTGGTGAATATTTCTTAAATCTGTTCACTTAACTAATCTTGTTCAGCTATCATCTCTATCCTCAATTACTCAGTGAACTACTGTTTCCCTAAAGCTCTTCTTTTCCAAACCATCCTCTGCAACACAGCAAGAGGACTCCTAACTGCAAATCTGATTGTGCTGCTTCTGGCTTTAAAAGAACTTTTGTTTTTAAGCAAAAGCTCAACCACTTAATAAGACAACCCCAGATCCCTGTCACTTTCACCATCTCCCCTTAAACTCTGTGATCTAGTTGTAAGGAGTGGTCTAGCCACATAGCGAGGTCTTCTTCCAAATGACCAAACTGATCAAATCCTTCTACCCTTCCTCACCCTTGCCATGTATTTCCAACTTTTATTTAATCCTGTAGCTCTCTCCTGATTTCAAAGGGCATCATCTTGGACACCTCAAAGCTGCTAAGGCTCTTTCTTTATAAACAGAGGCCACATACTCATATCAATCACCATCCCACCTTGGGTTACCTAGTTTATTGTTCTGAACCTCCTAGGAAGTGTAAGCCCACTGCATATACCAAAGTGGATGCTAAATACTAAATGTTCAAGTAAGTATTTGTTGAAAAACTGAATAGTTGCACACATTTTAAGACCTGTGTATTCTTTCTTGGGTTTCTTCTTTGAGAACTTTACAAAGGATGTATAAAAGCAAATCCGTGCCCTCTAGGACAGTTAATTAAAATCGCACCAGGGAGTAAAAACACAAGAAACAATTATAGAGCAATATACCAAGCTTATTAATAAAGTGTTAAATGGAACATGCTTAAGTGACAGGAACTCCAGTTGAAAGAAGAAACACTACAGATGATCTGCAAATTAATCCTATGTGCCTGCCCTGTCAGCTATAAAGACAAGACACAATCTCAAAACCTACAGAGATGAATGACCAAAAAAAAAATCCAGAAAAAACTGAGTCAATAAGCTAAATATGTATCCACAGAAATAAATTAGGTGAAGGATTAAGATTAATCTGAGTAAGTCTGTGAAATAAGATAAATATTTTAAGTGCTTAAATGTGCTTTAAAAAAAAAGTATGATCAATAAACTGTTTCTTCTCCTTTGGGAGGCACCTAGCTGTGCTTTTTTTACTATGAGGGTAACAGTTGTGTGGAACAAGTTCCAGTCATAATGGAAGGAGAAAAAAAATGAAACTAAAATATGTACAACTATTAGGAAAAATTGGATTCGCTCCAGATATCAAGGCTATGATATTTTAAAACATTTCAAACCACAACTGTTGTTTTGGGAAGTCACATCAAATTCCTGAGGATCATAAAAGGCCAAATGACCCAAAAGCAAAAATTTATAGTAATCCATCAAGTCAG